TGTGTTTTTGTTTGTTTTAAAAGACCCTAAAACAGGGGGGGGGGGGGGGTTTGAAGCAGCTTAACATTAAAAACAGGATGTTCCCAAAAAACTTACAACTGATGCGGCATCTTCTATTCTAATTTTATAGGAGCTGAAGCATATTGCAAATACAACTCAAGTTATTTGGTCTTCAAAACAAATTTTAAAACCAGATTGCTTTCACAGCAATATCGAAGCTGTCAGCTGAGAGAACACACACATACACTCTCGTGTGTGCAAACACGCACGTGGAGAACCACACTGAGCACAACTGGAACACCCCATTCAGTATTTGGATTACGTATGCATTCTCCTGAATCCACGGTAGGTGTAATTTAAAATGCTAGTTGCCTTTTTTTTGGTAATACATACGCGGTTTCCACGGAAACCCAAGATTCTGCACAATCAACTGACATTTATTACTCACGGTGCTGTGAAGTTCTCTAGTGAAAGGGCCAAATTCCAAAACCTTTACTCAAACATGCACATACCTAACCAAAGCCAATGAACAGGGGAGAAGATGGTTTAGAAAAGGGGTTGCAGGGTCAAGGTCTAGATTTGAAAAATCACATGACAGATTGTCATTCAAAAAAGGTTTTTAAGTCATTCTTTGGTTTATTTCCATGATTCTCAACACTGTCCGAAAAGGCCAGAGACAGTCACATGAGAAACCATAGCTCTAAAGCAAGCCCACAGCATTTTTAAATCTTGCGTATTAAGTGTTCAGAAGACTACCCCTTACATTCACGTCCCCAAAAATCTAGTAACTGCTTAAGTGCATGCACTGAGGCATGACCGGCATGCCTGTAAATTCATATTGTTCAAGTTAAGAGTAAATATAGCTGCAAAAAACCCCACCCACCTATAATTAAATGGTCATTACTAGCAATACTATAGCGACTGTCTTGTTATTAAAGAAATGCAGACGTGGTTTCTGCCTGTTTGGCTCACTCAGCCAAAAGGAAGCTGTCTGCTTGACTTAGAAAGAAAGCAAATTTTAAGAATTCAAGGGAGTTTAGTATTTCCATGTTCCTGGGGTCAATTATTAATGTAAAGATGTAGACAAATGGCAAGTATATGAAAGCATATCTTGTACATTCCAAGGTTTGGAAGTCAAAAGCAGATCTTAACTTCCTTATGCTTAAATGTTATGGTAGGCTTGGAAAACCAGTAAGAAGTGATATAATATTTCCATGAAAAGCAAAGTCTAACTAAGTCTAACTAGCATTCGTATGCAAGCAGGTTTTGCTATGCTTTACGTAAGGCAGATTTTATTGCAAAGATAGTCACCAGTCTGCTAGTAGGAAGAAAATACAGGCAACTATACTCAGAGAAGATGGCTGATAATTACTAGTGACAACTTCTATTTTTCAGAACAACTCAGCTTTAATGTACTTTCTGGAAACAGCATTTTCATCACGGGTTTTCATTTCCTTCCCCATCCCACGTTAAGTATCAAAAATCAAGACTGGACAAAATGAATTGTGGATATTTACCAACCAACAACATCTCATATTCCAATGTTATTTTTAACTGGAACAAATATAGCTCATTCTTTATAACCTACTGCCAGTGGTTGTTTATAAATATCTGCTTGCTGCAATAAACACTGGTCATTGATATATTCATTTGCAGTAACTACTTGGCACTAGGTTAATATACTTGTAAAGTTTAATGGAAGTGCTTCTGATATACATACAAGCACTTAAAACATCAGACTTTTAAAACTTAGTTTTTGGGCGTTTTAATACCTATAGTTACAGTTTTCACAAGCATTTCTGACAGCATTAAATCTCTTCAGAAGTTGAGAGGCTCCTGTCTCAGCATATCTAAGTTTCTCAACAATTACGGAATAGCTAATTTAACATTCTTGCTCCCTATGCTGAGACAACATGGTACCAAAATTTAGCTATGAAAAGAGGCATTTTTGGTCAGACTGACCCCCAGCTGTCCCTTAACAGAAAAGCAACACAGCTCAAACCTGTCTCCTCCCTCCAGAAAAAGACACCTAAGGCCACAGATTTACATTTGCCAGAGTATCAGGTGTTTCTCCGTTTGTGGCAACTGTGTCCATGCCCACTTAGAGAAATACAGTATCAAAGCCCCACCACCACCTTTAAGGATAAACCACCTCAGAAGCCAGTTTAGGCAGCAGTGCGCATGGAACCACATTACCTCGAGACAGCGTGTTAAAGCCATTCCAGCTAGTTAAACTCGTTTCTAACGATGTTTAATCAAAATTCCTAATTGCAGGAAAGAAAAAATAATAATTTTAATGTAGAGAGAGGCAAAAAGATGCAAAGATAACCACCACAACGATCCAATAGCAAAAACTCCTGTTTAAAGGTTTTCTTATGCTAAAAAAGGCACACAACCCCTTGTGAACTAGAGACAAAAGCTAGCAGTACTACAGCAATAAACCCAGAGAGAAAGCCTACCAGAATTACCCAATTGCCTACTGGGAAGGAACAATGAAGTAGACAGGCTGCTCTTGCTCTGTTTTGTTTGCAGGGAAGTGGTCAAAATTTAATAGTCAAATTTAGCCACATTTAACAAAAGCTACCCCAAGAAACCAGAACAAAACCTGACCTTTGGGTCAAAAGGCCACAGACAGGCCTTTCCATAGCATGTAGCTGAGTGAGTTCAGAGATTGGCAATGAAAGAAAAAAAAGCTTTAGACATGTGATGGGAACAAGCTTTGGGATTTATCGAACAGTCACACCAAGCTTTTCCAGCACACGCACTCCCTTTTCTTGGTATTCTTGTCGGGTCATCCAGAAGTTGTCTTTGTCTTTCATGATGTCTGCTAGAACCGCGCCGCCCAAAAACACCATGTGCTTTCGACGAGGTGGATCTTCAATTCGGATCTTAAATTTCTAAGAAAAAGAAAAGAAACCGTTACTAGAATTCTTGAAACAAACCCTTTCAAAATAAAACTGTGCTTTCCACCAGAACAATGAAATGGAAACTGTTTAGTGAGAAAAATGCAACCAAAAAACTGAAAGGCTAGCACGGGGCACTCTGCGTGATCTTCCAGCTTGCGCAACCAAAGTAAAATAACTACTTTGCACTGGAAATTAGAGACGGCTATTGACACTTTCCCCAAAATTATACTTTCAGTGTATCCACAAAAGGCCCAGGAGTCAGAATACAAAATTAAAGACGGTATTTTTGCATTTCATGAACACAGTAAAGGGTAAAATACTTCCTAAGCTTCGATGGCTAAAATTATCAGAAATTACCAGATCATCAAATCACTAAATATTTTAGAATTATACCAAGTTTTTAGAAGGGCAGATGGAACAGATTTTAAATTTATACAATCTAGACCAGTGTAGCTCATTAATATTCCCTTAAATTCTTCAATGCTAAAGCTCTAACTTCAAGAGCAAAAATGAATACAGTCAAAGCTATGTGTGAAATATTGCCTTAGACTTGAAACATCCTGTACAATTGAGTCATTCCATATAGCTGCAAAAGATCTTTAGAGAACACCGTATTAAGAACCAGGGAAGTTCAATTCGGTTCAACATCAGAAACTCCATTCAAAGGAATTTTCTCTGTAAATAACTCCTCCTTGAAAAACGGATAGCATTACAATGCAGTGTTACCTCTGTAACGTGTATGTGGCTGTTGTCTGCTTATCACAGCAACCAATGAACAAGGGAAATTTATTCCACTTGAAGGTGTGTGAGAACTCCAGCCTCTTACTTTGGAGTATTTCACTTACAGCACGAACCAAAACTTTCACAGATAAAAAAAATAAAATAATTTTTGCTCAATGATGACTTTAAGGCACAAAACCTCATCAGCTTCGTTCAACATACATTACAAGTTGTGCCCTAGCATTTATCAGCCCATTTTACATTCAGACTAACCCAAGGCTTCAGGAATTACTTGCTATTAGCACGGACTAGAAGGTGGCTTTATTGCAGGTATATACACACAAGCCATCTATACGAAACGCAGGGGTGTGAAGAACCGAGAGGCAGCAATTTTGCAAGATGCGTGGACGGGCACCCGCAGCTTCTGTCATTTCTGACTACTTGGTTCCCTCTAGTGGGGGATTCAGGATAAACCTCGGCCCCACACAAATCAAGCAGCGACTCAGTACCTACCGAGAGTTTTTCCACATCTCCTTTCAGAACTCGTTCCAGGTAGAGCTGTTTAAGTTCCCGCTCCAGTCGCGAAGGCAGCCCGGGGTACATGGTGGACCCTCCAGACAGCACAATGTGCTTGTAGAATTCAGACCTGACCAAAAAAACCAGTCTTTCTAGTGTCGTACAGTATACTATGTAGTACAAACAGGTACCTGTACGTACAGGGGAGTAAATACAAATCTAAAAAACGGTCACTGTGCAAAGACAGACTTTGCACGAGTTTGGCAGACTTGCTGATGCTTTTCCAGGCGTCCCAGAAAGCAGCAGTAAAAAAATATTGTGCTTTCAAGATTTTATCCTTGCTCATTCATACCAAAATAGTCAAGTTTCCAGACAACCCGTTAAGCTCCAAGATCTCAGACTGAGCCCCACTCCCAGTATACGCACTCCCCCAGCAGTACATATACTAGTGTCTAAAGCAAAAGATGTTATTTTGTTTGAATGCAGTTCTCACATCATGCCTGCACCCTGACAGAGGATTTTAAGTGTTCTGCACTTACCTGGTATCAATGTCAGCAGCCTGGATGGTGTTAAACAGCAATTCAGCCACACCAACCCCCTCTACGTTGATTAAGTGAGGCTGGAAGAGAGCCTCCGGTGCCTCAAACCGTTCTCCACCGACTTTAATAATCCTGCCATCTGGGAGCTAGTGAAGAAAAAACACCACTTAGAAGACTACTTTTAGCCACTTGGATACTAAACAAACCAAGAGGAAATGACCTACATTGTTCCCTGATGTTTTAAAACAGGAAATTGTTGAAAATTGTCAACACTGCAAGAAGTCATTCAGCACTACTGAAAGAAGATACAAATTCTTCAATCGTTACACAATTTACTTAGAGACATCAGGGACCAGCTACATCGATACTCACGTACCAGACATCTCCTTGCAATAAAGCTCCTAATACTGATTTACAAGATGATCTTACAGCAAGAGTAATGCTTTCCTGCAAGTTCTTTTCTTCCATGTGTGATCACGGGAAGTTTCCACTAAGAGCAAGTTTACCATTCTTGTCACCAGCTATCTGTCTCATTCATGTCATTGCTAAATGGATGAAGCCAAAACAATCTGACACGCTAGAAAGTCCACTTTCTCTACAAGTTCCTGTACTATAATATTCAAATTTCAAGGATCTACACTGACAAAAATAAGTACAAAGTCTTATGGAAACTCTGAAAAGAAAAGAAAAAAAAAAAAGCACTTTTGAAAGTTTTCCCAGAACCAAGTAATCTGATTCTACAGACTCCTAGGTCTGGGAAGTGAGCTATTGCTAAAAAAAAATTTAGAAGGAATCAAAGCTAAATGCTACCTGAATTTACACCTATGCAGCTTAGGACAAGAAAAGCTGTCTCAGAACACTCACCGTGTAGGACTCAACTAGTACTGTGGTCTCTAATGCCAGTTTCTGCTCCTGTTCGATGTTGTATCCCACATAACATAGCTTTTCCTTGATCATGCGAACAGTCTCAAAATCAGCAGAATGGTTGAAAGCATACCCTCGCAGTAAGAGGAGCTAGAGGGAACATATTAGGTTAGCAGTAAATGAGAGGAACAGTCCAGTTGTCTTCATCAGCAGATGGGTACATTCACACATGTATCTTTAAAAGCTCATCTCCCTTTTTTAACTGCAAATTTAATATTAAGTCAACTCTCTCACAGAGTATCCATTATTGCCAGAAAAGTAGAATAGCAGCAGCATTACTCCAAGTGGGAAATTTTCTTCGTCATTACAACTTTCAGTATAACCATTACAAAGACGAGTGAAAGATACCCAAAATAATTCTTATATTTAGGACTTCAGAACACTCCAGTATTCCAGTTTAACCATAAGATTTGTCAATCCAGAATGTTGCTTATATTTTAAGAAAACAACTAAACAAATAGTCTATAAAACATACTGTCTTATTTAATAATCAGGGAAGAATCACTACACTATTTTCTTTACTGTAAGAAAAAGTCTTTCTGAACGTAGATGAGTAGAACTGATAGGATACAATTTTATTTTCATTTTATGTATCAAGAAAGCCAACTTTTGAGCTTTTCTTTCCCAAATATGGAATAAAATTCCTTCCTACAAGACTGTCACTAAGAAAACGTGAAGTCTCTGAATAATGTCAGTAATCTCACATGTGATTTAGAAGAGGAAACGTAGCCCGGATAGACTGAAGCAATACAGAGAACACAGGAGTTCTTTATGCAATTAACATATGAATAATAAAGGGAAAACGTATAGTGGTTTCGTGCTATCAAGGGATTTTAACTTGAACCAATGTACCACAGATACCAGCCTCAACCTTAAAAATTCTTTCCAGCTTACCTTAATGAGGTACCTAGTAATATCCCTCCCAGCGATATCTAACCGTCTGGTGAGATGAGGGAGGGAGAAACCTTCGTAAACCGGGCAAATATGGGTTACGCCATCTCCAGAGTCCACAACAACACCAGTCAACAAACCTAAAAGAATGGGGGGGCAGAGGTACAACTTTTATTAGCACCTTCATAAATAGAGCAGAATAGTAGCGAGTTTAAGACAGGATTTTTCATTGTAATCTTAACACAACCTCTGTTCCCCCAGTCATCATTTTGGGAAAAGTAGTCACAATTTAAAATTTCATTATTTCCATTCAGCTGGATTTTAAACTTAAGGTCTTCATATTAACAAATGCTTTCATATATGTTTTTTGGAAGTATTACCTCTACTTTTTCCTAGATGCTTATAATGCTGCCATTCACAATTTTATCTGGTGTTTTGACATCTTAAATTGCACTCTAATTAAAAAGAATATCTAAGATCATTAAATGCTTGTTGGGGCACAAATTCCTCCTCAGATTCAGTGGTGTATGCTCAACCTTATATTAATTTCTCAAATATGAAGAAATCTAGAGGTATTCAGGCCACAAATTTACCTTGTTACAATTATTAGGACTTGTTGATTTTGACTGGTATTCAAAAAACAAAACAATGCTTTCATAAGGTAGAGAATATTTGGACTATACAGCAGACATCTAATTTTTTTCCCCACAGAAATAGGGCTAGGCTGAATCAGGTTCACTTCATAGACTAAAGAAATTAACTCCAGTGAAAAAAGTTTACCATAAAACCTTTAAATTCTAAGGCGTACAAAACAGATATCATAAGCATGTAGAAACAGAAGTTTCTATACTTCACTAACAAAATAAATAAGAAGCTGAATTAATGGTGAAAGTCAATTAGAAAACAGTTTTATAGTTTCTCACAAGCTACTTAAAGCAAGAAAATATATTTTAAGGGGAGACCTTAAAATAATGAAGGAACATTTAATATGTAATGGCAAGGTGCATTGGTTTGGCTACTGTAATTTGCTCAAGCTTTGTAAACAGAAGGCAAACAAATCGGTTATTTGCCTTGAATGAACCAAAGAACACACCTTGGTTCGGTGTGTGATCAGATCTTTGGATTTATTAGTGAACTGGAATAACCACTACGCAAACACGACAAGTCTGGCAATCGGACACATGCAGTAAAGGAAGGAAATAGTCAGTCACAAGGGACTACACCTAACTCCAAAAGATTGTTGTGAGGAATTGCTAAAGAATTTCCTAATTACAACTAGGTTTTGATATATAAACCCCTTTGCCTTTAAAAGGCACACAAGCACAGAGTAAAAGCAACAATTAGTCTTAAGAGAGTTTTAACAGCAGCAACAAAACGTGGTGCACTGAAATGAGGCATGTCTCTGTAATTTTAGCCACTACTTTAATCTTTAATGTAATATAAATAAGTAGATTGTTTTAAAGTTGGTTTGTTTTTTTTTTTTAATTTTCAAAAGCAAATGTTCTATTTATGTGCCACTTGGTTTTTATATCTTAGAAAGTCTTCAACTTTGTTTTAGATGATAGTATGTAGAAACACTGTGGACTGCTCTAAGTTGTTTCACATTTTGTTATGCACAAAGTAACTGAGCACTATATGGTAAAATACATGTACAATTACAGAGGAATTTAAGACTCTGTATGCTAGTCAACTAAATACTTACAAGGAATCAAACCAGAGAAAAACCAAGGGGGGCAGGGGGCGAGTAATAGCACAGATCGCAGCAAATAGAATTAATATCCAGGTCTGCAAAAGTGGGTTTTGTGCAGCTAGTTTCAATGACTTGCATAACAGAACCACACTTCCAGTACCCCATCACTTTTGCTCTTGGACATAGAAACTATGACGACATGTTAATGGGCACGGATATTTATGTCCTGCTATGTGACAGCTAAGTATACCAAGCCACTAGTAAACAGATGTAAGGAGTCAAGTTATTAGAACTGATGTGCTCGAGTAACTTCTTAAAATCCTAGATGGACTGCAGTCAACGGTAGCATTCCTATAAAATTCACTGAATCTGTAATTTTCTCCTCAGACTGAGCATCATTTATTCTAGTTTATCTACAGCAAAAGAATCAACTTTTTTTTTTCTTTTAACTGAAAGTAGTGCAAAAGTCACCTAGTCATCTTCTTGAAATTCACTTATGGCAATAAATTTTTCCTTTATCAGAAAATCAAAAGCACGTCATTAAGACTTGATGCCAAAGGCTAAATGACTACACCCTGAAACAATGACAGGTTCGATAACCCAGGTTTTTGCATTTACAAGCAGGTCTCCTCCGTTGGTTCATGAAAATAACACTTAAGTGTGGTACCTATCAATAGTTCCTCAAAACAAAAGCAAGCCCGTAAGTCAGAGCTGAGCTTGCTTACAACAGCGTTGAATTAAGCCCAAGACCCATTAATACCATATTAGTACTTTGGCTCGGCAACACGTTTATAAACTAAGCAGATTTTAAGTTATCTTTGCCTACCTTGAGCATATAAAGTAAGAACAGCCTGAATGGCTACATACACCCCAGAAAACTGGTACGTCTCAAACATAACCTGTAAGATGAACGCAAAAATTAACATTCAAAACAGGCCAAATACTTAAAAGAAATTTCATAGATGTTTGAAAACTGTATTTCTAGAATTCTGTATTTTTGCTAATCAAAAACACTTTCCAAGAAATTTCATCACGCAGATTCTACACAAACATTAGAAACCTACTTGCTTTATGGCAGTAAGTAGTACATTCAGTTCTATACCTTACCTCTTCACACAAGACGAGCCATATGAAATGTTCCACATCTGTTTAGCAACAAAAGTGAATACTTCGAAGAAACCCACACACCAATTTCTGCAGCTTTACTAAGCTGTTTTCCAAACTGCTTAATGAGCGGGAGGCAGTACTTGTAGACCAGCCAAGTACTTCATTACTGAAGTGTGACTTGGGAATGAAATGTTTATTAAAGGTGTATGCTCTAAATCTAATGAAGTTCGGGGGGGGGTTATTCTTCATATCAAGCCCTACAGACTTTGTACAACTGCAGACTATGTCAAGTAAAGACCAAACAGACTCCTACGCGTATGGGTCTAGAATAAGCCCAGCGTCACAGGTTGTTTTCTGCATCTGGGCCGCCTTCTTCCCTTCTTTAAAGCACAACTGACGGCAAACATCTAGAATTAGTGCAAAACCCACTACAATTGAAATAGTACAGGTAGGGCTAACTCTGTTAATACGTACAGAAAACCACAGATTTGCAGAACTCTTATTGAAACATGAAAAGTAACTGCCTGTCTTGTAGACTAGGTTCCCCTAACCACTAAAGTAGTTTCAGTGAAGAAACAGAGTCTAAGATTAAAGGATGTAGAGTTTATAGGATCCTGTCTTCTTTATAAACACAAAAAAGGCCAAGTAAACAAATCGTACTGTACAGCTGTTTTGCCCTCAAAATGCTTTACCAGGAAAAACGGATGAACTCCGATTATTCCAGCACATGCAGAAGGTTTTCTTTTGCTATTCTGCAGCTTCCTGAGCACTTCTGCAACTTCTAGGATTAGAAACTGATTAAATCCTAAGTACTCCCACAGCTCAAGTAAAAGATATCTAAATATTTTTAAAGAAAAAAAGCTGATGCCTGACAATTTTAGAATTCTGAACTATTTAAAGAACCTCCTCTGTTAGAATAGCATGATTTTAAACAGCCGGCCCATATCAAAAACCTCATCCTTGCAAAGTCAAGTTAATTATTTCATAGCTGCATCAAGCACGCCGCAGAAGCCCTGGGAAGACCGATGCCGCCTTTCTCGGGATACTCGCTGTGAGCACGCGGTATAGCAGAAGTCAAGCAGAAAGGAACGCAGCGGGGGTGAGCTGCAGAGCACCCTGCCATGAGAACACCACGCTGGGGGTTTTTATAAACCCTCAATGTGAACTGGGCAAGACAAGCAAGACGTTACAAGGCTGGCTAGTAACTTCTGTAATGGCCACAATTTAGCACATACGCAATACCTTCAGGAACAAGCAGCAGAAGTGTCTGCCAGAAAAGGAACAGCTGAAAGGGCAGCAACTCACAAGGAGATCCCATTTGAGTAGTCACTGTCTAAAACCAGCACTATTCCCATGGACAACTCTTTCAAACGACCTGAGTGCTTACAAAATGAAAAACTAATCTAAATTATCATCTTCATACAACAAAAGGAGTATTCAAATGGCATTAGCTACTGCCTTCACATGTTGTACTAAACCCTAGAAGCCACTGCAAAACCCTTTTATAACCTATATGCAGGCTTTTGGGGGGTTGTTATTCTTTCTTTCAAGACATCTAGGTCTGTTCTATTTGACATGAAAAATGCCTTGACACGGGACATATTATGGTAACAAATCTTAAGATGTAAACACTGAGCAGGATGTTCTCCTGAAAAGATTCTTCTTCCCGTGACGGCAGCTTTTGGATTACCTACAAAGTGATGTTTAATTGGGCACAGAAAGGAAGAACTAAAAATTGGGGAAAAAAGATCAAGAATACTAGTTTGGGATTAGGAGAAGCGACTGTGCTAGAGTATCTTCACAGCTACGTGATATCCCATTACAGTCTGGCTGCTCCTGAGGGGAGTCGAATGAGAATGCAGCAGGCAACCAGAGACAAACAAACAGCACACACTCAGATAAGCTGAGGAGCAACTAGCGTCTTGTACGTGCTATGAAACAAACGGCACTTTTTAAATATGTATTTTACAATATACCTGTCATGTTAACACCTGCTGCTGTGACTATGTAGCTGAATTTGATGGAGCGATGGGGTGAGGAAAGAGAATTACTGGAAGTAGAATGAAGTACAGCATAGGTAATTATCATCTTGATATGGTCCGGATGACTACGATTTCTTTTAAAATGCTACTGCACCGTATCACGAAATGCAGAGACATTATTGTGTTTACTGCAGGTTTTAGGGAAAAATCTTAATTCAGGCCTCTGCTTCATACTGGGCTAGCCTCCCCGAAAAGGAAGAGTCCATGTCAAAAATGGAAGAAAAAAAAAGTATAAATATGTTGCAGTTAAAAACTAAATATTGCTAAGTCCTCCTAACACTGTGATCCATTAAAAATATTAACAGAAACAATGAACTTCTGTTTAACTCAAATTTAAATTTACAAAAATGGATTCTAGTTCTCCCTAATCCTCTGGACCATGATTAGGTATCTACAATTTCTACAGCGGTTTAAAAAAAGCAAACGGGGCAATACAAATATTTTAACAGACTTCAGAAGCCATACAAGACTTTTCAATTTATGGTATAAAATTACTCAGTCCCAGAATAACTAAAACCCAGCCTTTTGTGTTGAGCCGGAAAACAGAAACAAGAACACTATTGTAGACAGCTGAAAAGCAAAGAAGCCTGAAGAGGAAATTCAACCATTCCTGTTACGTGGAGGCCACCCAGAATAATCTGCTATGTCTATCACACCACAGCTGACTGATATACAATAGATGGTATTACTAATGTTGCATTACATAATACTTGGGTAATAGGTCCCTAACGTCCACAATTGCTAAGAAATGCTGAATTTAGATTGTCCAGTTTGATATTTTTTTTTTTCACTTAAGTTTTTCCAACTTTGCTATACTTCACTTGCTCCCAAGTCACGGAAAGAAAAGATTAATGCAAATACATTCACTGCCACATTGCAGAAAGCACTACTGTAGCTGTGACAACAAAAGGATTTTAAAGGAAAAGTCAGTAGGTAATGATAAAGGTAAATTCTTATTAGAGTAACCAACAGATTCGGGGAAAAAAAAATATATATACACAAGCTTTCATATTCAAAGTTCTGACAAATGAATAAGGTTTCAGACTTAGAATCCATTTTTCCTGCCCTATCAGCTACTCTAATAACACATTTTTTTAATTATTTTTGTTACACTGAATACTCACATTAATTGAAAATACCTATGATGCTTGAGAAAAAAAACAAAATGGGAATCTAAACTTTTTGTTCTCAAACATTACTGCTCTTCAAAATCGAGCCTTTCTCACGTGGTACTAGAGCTAAACAATATACATCTGACAACCGACATTAACACAAGGTTCGGATGGAGCTTAGGCCGCCCAGAGCAGCACTCTCAGATCGAGGATCCAAGACCGAGGCTTTCCTTCTTAGAAGGCTTTCATTGATAATCCCTAGCGTTAATCAAAGATTAGTGATTTGGTTGTCATCACACCTTTGTCTCAGCTACTTCCAACAACACTGCTCCATCTGGTAAGCATCATCTTGCTCAAGCCTCAATCTCCTCTGAAGCATTACTGCCTTACATAAGTCTAAGTCATTTAAAGTAATTAACATTCATCCAATAGCTAGTAATCAATATATCTTGGGCACACGAAGACAAACATATATTTCCAATTCTGTGTTTTAATGGTGATATGGCTTGAGACAAGAAGCCTGCTTGTAGCTTTTGAATGAGATCAGCTTGTTTGAATTTAACCACAGTAGCCTTCATGACTATAGCTGAGGACAAGTTTTGGTTAGAAAACAGAACTGCTTTGCCTCAGACAGTTACCAGGTATTCCAAGAAGTTAAAATCTCTTAGCGATGCTTCAATGACAGTATATATCAGTTTCTACTAGACAGACATACCTCCACAATCTTCTCCCTATTTTTAGTTGGATTCATGGGAGGTTCTGTAAGTAGTATTTTACAATTTTTTGTGTCAATATTAAGTTTTTCTGGTCCAAACGTATAATCCCAGAGGTGCTTCATATCATCCCAGTTCCGAACTATGCCATTCTCCATTGGATAATTCACTTCCAGCATTGAGCGCAATTCACTTGCTTCATCACCAACCATGAGATCCTGTAAAATTTTAATACAGAAACATGTCAGTGCTTGCAAAGTTTTCCAAACACCAAAATCCTCAAGAATGACAGTGAACTGCTCCAGCCTGTGGCCAACTGTGTTCTTAAACAATGCTCACATTTTAGAGTAATTTTCAGGTACTTAGGAGAGAAATAGAATATCTTTCATGTAGTACTTAAATTTGGCTGTTACCCATCCCAAACCTTTTCCAAAATAAACTTTATTAATTCCGTTTTCCAATTAACCTTAAACGAACCAATAAATCCCTACAACAGCTAGATACTACAAAGACCTTTGTAAGTACAGATGTTTCTCCACTGACACCTCCAAAATTCTTTTATCAAATACTAATTTCTAAGGGCTGAGATGCTAAACAGCACATAAGGGTAGTAGGTGGGATTGGCAGAATATTTTTCCATGCATGTTGCAAATTTCTGTGCACAATACCAAAAAAGGAATAATGAGTGGTGAATAAGCATACCGAACAGTAGCAAAAGCAAATAAGAGATTAGGAGTTGGAGACTAGACATTAAAAGAAACAATGGTTTACATATTGTCTGTGTCAGTAGGGTGTGAAGAGACACAGCTAAATATAAAATATACCCTTGTCTGTTCCATGCCAAACGTTCCAAGCCGAAAACCCCAGTAATGCATTCTTACACAACTACAACCAACTAATGCATAGTTTGTATAGTCATTTCACACTGATTAAGCAATCTGTTTATTAGTTATGGAAACACTGCACATTCAAATTAGTAGCATCATATCTTCTCCTTTCCCACGTATTTCCCAGAGGAAGTATGCACGGTAACATCTTATCTTTGCTCCCTATTATACTCCATACTTTTCTAAAGAAGCCTTAACTGACTCACTCGTATTTAGCCTATAAGCACATATTTCTAGGTACCAATAGCACTGTTTCCATATAATATTATATTAATTTAATTGTAAAAGAACCAGCTGCTTCATACAAAAATATGCCACTGCAGTTTGCAGTTGCTGTGGCATAGAAATCTCTGAAGTGAGAGCTACTCAACCTAGTATCCAATGTTAGGGAAACAAGATGCACAACGAAAAATCCAGCATCCAGTTTATAATGCCTTTTATAGAAGTAACCTAAACAGCTACTGTTGACTATATAAAAAGGAAGTTAACTGAAAATAGTTTAAAACAAACCATTCCTCTTCCACATCCTCTCACTGACAAGGTGTTTTATTTGTTTTCCCTTGCACACTAGATCACACTTCAGTTCTTTACTCTACAGAAGACAAAAGTCAAGACATTAACATTTTAAATCAAACGTACTCTAGTGAAACTGTACTATGAAAACTCCACCATGCAGCCACGTTACTCCTGAGAATTTAACACAACAGAAACTCCACCTGTTAGAAGAATCAGAAGCCCTTCTTGTGTGCTGTTCTTTGAGGCTCTACGCTACCAAACAGGACAGCCCAGGAAAAGCTGCTATTCAAATGTGCAATGAAAGTTGCACAAAATTTTCATGTCCTTTTAAAACAAAGTTAAAGGGCAGAACAATTGTTCTCAAGAGCACGCTAACAAACATGTGCACTTGGTAGGCGAAGAGGAAGGAGGACAGCACAACTGAATTTGCAGAGAGGAACCAGTACCATGACATCCAATGTTTCCACCACTTTGGTACTCAGTAATATTTGACTAACTGAAATCTGAAAGTTTTTTCAAGCTCTTGGTTTGCAATATTAAATATAGGAATTTCTACTGTTAAAGATGTTGAGCTCATGTTGATCTTTAAGAGTTATTCTTACATCTTGCAAAACTACAGGTTATGTAGCATTTAGAAGCAATACATAAAATACTCTCATGAATTAGTTGCTAGTAAACCAAAGCAATGAACAACGTCCAAAATAAGTATGTATTCAAATGTAAAATGTAGGACAAGACAAAACAACTAATAGCATCAAAAAATAACATAACAGCTACTAGGTCTCATCAAGCAAAAATGGTAAACAAGCAGCACAGGGGCACCTCACTTACCATCTTTTTGTTATTCTACTTCAACAGGTCAAGAAAGGTGAAGAAAGAAGGTAGAAGCAAGAAAGTCAGAAAAGGCCTAAATGAAATTCTCAAATTATTTTAAGTACACAGTAGAAACAGGCTGAAAAAGAGATGCATGTACAGCAGGAAATGATCTGAGTTAGTTTAGTTAGGGCCAAGCTGACATTCTCAGGATCTCAGATTAAAATGTCTCTTTAAAGGAAGCTATTGCTACATGTCACTGGCATGTCCTTACGCTGCAAACAAGATCAGTATATCTGCCTTTTTCTCATAAGTAGGATTCTGTGCATAAATATTCTGTAACACTGGAGTTTTTACCCTGGGCAAGGCATTTATATGAACTAGACAAGACTCTGCACAAGGCATTTGACCATAACTAGCTCTGACCAACGCTAAATTTAAATTTTGTTTTAAATATTCCGCTTTAAATACCCAAGAACTGAAAACTAACAAAAATATTCACCTATACGCAGGCTAATCTGTTCGTATATCATGGAACAAATACCCAAAAAGAATCAAATCAGAGATATTTACTTAAATTACGGCATCTACTCTCAGAATGGAAATAAGCAATCATGAAGTGCAACAGTAAGAGCAGCATCCCAAAGCTAAAATTCCCTATACCAAGCTATGGAGTTAGGAAGATAAAATAATTAAAGCAGCTGGGAAGCACTATGAGAAATTTCAAGTGTATCTGTACAAACGTTGTCCAAAATTATACTAAAGCCATTTTCACGATTATTGAGGTTTTTCCTCCTTTGATTAAATTTAGCTAAACTGTCACCTAAACCGTCACAAGCCATAGGATAACTATCAGCACCACTAAGGCAAATCTACTTATTCTGCAAATCATGTCAGAGGAAAAGCGCGCAGAGTCGCGGGCAGCTGCCTTTGGACAGGCAGTACTGAAGAGGCTGGTCCAAGTGTGGCCCTCTTCCTCACTTCAAATCCAGAGAATGACCTTCTCCAGGCTGGCTTTGGCAGAAACCGAGCAGAACTGTAGGACACGGACAGCAGGACAGCTCAGCAGGTCACTGGATCTGATCTGCCCTAAAATCCTAATTGTTTTAACTAGTCAAAGCTACTCGTCAGTCCTGCCTTCCTAAGAAGGTTATTAACTCCCAAACCTGCTTCAAAGATTAGGAAGTCAGTAGAAACTAAGAGCAGCATCTATGCTTCTGGTTTTACAGTTTTAAGGTTGCAATTTTAAGCAAAATAATCCCAGTAATAACTGAACTTCTGTGTTTATGTTGTGAACTGGGGACTCTGAGCAGCAGAAAAAGCTGCTGGCTGAAACGAGAATCCAGAAGGAAAACATGGACAAAGCAATCTGAAATCGGTAACTCAATAGATGGACGATAACCAGTTTTGATCAGCTTCCAGATTCTTTTCACAGAGTTTCTGAATTTCAGAGGAATGATAGCTTTTCTGAATAGTTTTGAAAAGTTAAACTGATAATCTTCTTGCCAGCTACCTTTACTCAGTTTTAAGCTTATCCCGTAAGAACGTGCAGTGAATGGCTAGAATTAAATTTTGGCATAAAATTCATCTGCTAAAATACATTTTTTTTAGGAAATCTGCAAGAATCTCACGAAAAGAAGTCTTCCTACTGTATTATCCTACTGGGATACCCAAAGTATCTGTGGCAGGGATTTCTTCTCTTGATATATTGTTTCCTTAAGAAAGAGTGACAAGCTATTGTAGGCAGATGCTATAAAACTTTTAGGAAGAATCTCTGCAGAGTTTATACTCTCTAAAGTACACCTGTGTCATCCACACTCAAGCAGAAGACCGCAGCGCATGCAAAATTATAGTTTACTGGTTCTTTCGCACTGATGTCATACCAGTTACCCACTTCTATCTCTTATCTTTCCAATTCAACACTGTCATCTGTAATGATATTAAACTTAACTTAACTAAAAAGTTATCAGATAATCAGAGAAGACCAAAACTGGCAGGACAGGCTGTATCAGATCAGCTGGAAAGAAAACACGACTTCAAAAATGAGATTTCATGCAAGAGAATTTTTCTTGGACTTAAGATTTGTAAATCACTGCATAACCTTCATAAAACTTTACCAGGACCTCCTTGAAGAAATTGTCACATTAAGTTAAAGTAGATATCCGAAGAAATGCCTCTCCCCAAGTCTTGCAAGAGAAACAAAGATGTTTTCCCTCTCCTTACAAAAACTCCTGTCTACTGTGAAAGGGAAAGATCTCCATCCTTTCAACCAAATTCTCCTAGCTGACACAAGGTAAGTGGAATTGCAATATTTAAAAAAAAAAAAAAAAAAAAAAAAAAAAAAAAAAAAAAAAAAAAAAAAAAAAGCATCCTCTTGACCTCCTAGTATGGCTTTCTGTTGATACTACTAACTTTACAGGCAGCAGCAGAAATCAGATAACTGAAGTTCTCCTTGTCACCCAAAGGGTTCTGAAAATAAGGAACAAGACTGGGCAGATTTTTTTTTCCCCTTTTTCTAAGCTGCTGCTCAGAAGCAACAAGGAAAGCAAAATTGAAAGCCTGTACACGTGTGGTTCTACTTGACCTTCACTGGCCTAACCGAGGGCTTCTACAGTTCTGCGTTGCCTTACACTTCTCCCTCAAGTTCCTGCTTCTGCCTTGCTCTCAAACTGGTGCTCACACAATTGTCTAGTAAGGCAGTCGAAACTTTACCTGACAAAGAAATCGCTCTTTTTCAGCTGGATCAGCTCACTAAAATGGCTCACCACATGACTGCACAAGCCGTAGGACCAGCACAAGGTGAGAATGTGTGGCTAGAAGCAAGCAGGGAGGATGCAACCACAGCAGGGCCAAGATATTTATTTACTGAAGCCTGTATTGCAGAAGCAACTACTAACATTTGAAGCCTTTCTCTGTAATTACAAAATAAAGCAAGAAATGATAGCTCCCCAGACTTCAGAAAAACATTCTCAAACAGTGGTGTCCCCCCCATTCCAAGCTTGGAATAATGTCCCAAGACGAAGCAGCCTGAACAGAGCCTCTCCAACTCTGACTGGTGTGGAGTACCCACGTCTATCAACAGCAAAAAGAAAAGAAAACAAAACCAATAGAAACAATGAAATGCAAACACAACCAAGGTTAAACAACTGGTACAAGATCACAGATGATCAACTGTGATTAGAAAGCAAACAGTACAGAAAGACCTCGAAGCTCCACCAATTCTTCAGCATTGTCTCAGAATCCCACGGTACAGGTCCGTGACAAACATCAACCACTTCCAATTTCTGCCTTCTAATCTTGACATCCTTTACATATTGGCATTTGAAGCCCCTTTTTGCCCAGAACCACTTGAGCCCTACCTGCTGCCGCCTCAGCTGTACTATCTGAAGGCCTCCAGTGCTTTAGATTACTCCTCTTAGTAACTTTGTAGTTTGTGACAGGCTAAAACCCAATACAGAAATGAATCAAGAGATACTGAAACAGCATAAAGTGGAATTAAGGAAAAAGCATTTCCAAACATTACATAAGTCAAAAGCTGCCCTAAATATTTTTACCTGTGAGAAAGGAATAATAATGAAAAAAAATTTACCTTGATTTCAATGTTTCCCACTTTAGCAGTTGATCTTATAATGGGTCTTCCAACCAAAGCTGGAAAAATGTGCTCCGGAAAATTTGAGCCTGCATAGCCACATTTCACAAACTGAAAAGGAATAAATAATTTTATTAGAACATGCATTACTTTTGTTTACCAATAGAAACCTGGTTTGGGGTAAAAATTAAAAGCCCAAATTTAAGAGCATGTGTACCACTGGAAACCAATTGGATTTATACTTTCAAATCAATGTTACACATTTCAGGTGATGCGTAGATCTGTAAAACTGAACTAAAGTATTTTCCAGAATGTTTTCTGAATCACACTGACAGATTTTTGAGAAATGGTATTAAAACAACTAAGTATGTTGAGAGGTGTAAGAGAGCCCAGTGTTTGAATTTGCGTTTCGTGCCACTGTATAAAAGTTCTCTAGCAACCTGAAACGCATCATTTTGTAATGGATCACCTTATAATGAGTACCCAATGAGACCAAATTAAATCGCCTCTCCAATTAGGGCATGCAGTAGCATAACAAATTACACATCAGAAAAAAAAAAAACAACCTTGTGAATTCAGGTGTTATGCTGTTATAAAAAGTGTTTAGCAGTGAACTAGCAGATAGTCTGTGCAATTCAGATGGATTTCTCAGAGTTTCATAATTTTCAGGGTTTCTTTTAAGGATAAAAATATGAGTTTGCAGTAAGCACTTCTAAAACCAACAGCACAACCAAAACCTCAGCTGATGGTAGTTAACACCAAACAGGACACTCTGAAAGAGGGTTTGTTACCCAAATATGTATGAAAGGAAGCTTTATATCACTGGGTCCCCAGATAATAAATACACTAAGAAAACAGCGAGGATTAACTGAGCATAAAAGAGAAAAAAAAAAAACACACAGTCACCAGAGGAAGCTCAGTTGTAAAACAAGAACTTTAAATGTGCCAGCGAGAAGTTACCATTTTAGCTCATGGGGATCAGCAAATTATGCTCTTTAGCTATCCTGCTCTGATGTTCATATATCATATTCTGATGTTCTCCCTGCAGTTCCTATAGAGCAGGCTTCTCTTTCTTTGATGCATACTTAGCATACGGCACCACATCAGCATGCCAGAACAACATCCTGGAGTCCCAAACTAAACGTTACGCATTTTCAGCTGCAAAATTACTCAACCACCTAGGTGTAACAGCAGTAACACAGCATCACAGGATCATTCAGGCTGGAGGGAACCTCAGGAGCTCTCTCACAACGCTGGGCTCAAAGCGGCCAATGCTGAATTCAGACCAGGTTGCTTCGGGCTTTGACCAGTGGGGTGTTGGAAGCCTCCAAGGACAGACAATTCACAGCCTCTTTGGGACCCTGTCCCAAAGCTTAATTTCCATTTCAGGTTGTATTAAAAGCCATCTGCTAGAATTTCCAAAACATTCACTGAGTTTTCTGAAGTGAGGTCTGAAGACTGACACTGAAACAATTATCACAGCAAAGAGTACAGCTAATTGCAGCTGAGGGGAATTCTGCCATTATACTAACGGTAACATGAAAAGCCACCTTCTGTTGCTCTGAATTATTTGCCTTACTGCAGTAAAAAGGGCATCTGTTTTGGAAAGAAATTTATAAGGCCAGTTACAGAAAGAGGCAAGAGATATTTTAATTAAAGTTGGGCTAATACAGGGGGGAAGGATTTTTTTTTGCTTTTTGTTACCCTTATTTCTTTCACTCCTTCAGTGCTTGCTGTCTGCAAAGGCAGAGCTGTTTGGAATACCTGAGGAATGACAGTGTGTATACAAGTAATTTTCCTCATTCTCCTTCAATCCACATTCTCAGAAAAGGCAAGTACTTACCAACTTTTGCTTATATTAAGGCCAGAAGTACCTAGGAGTTACAAAGATCTTATCTGTGTATTCAAGAATGCAGTGCTGCTATGAGAAAGCAAAGAGTAGCCACAAGCATTTTTGGAGCACGCTACCTGAATACACCAGAAGACTTTACCAGAAGTTTTATACCAAAGGAAACATATGAAACATTTTGAAGGACTGAGCTGAGTCCAAATAATGGTGTCCAAATTTAAAAAAAAAAAAAAAAAAAAAAAAAAGGCCCCTTTTAAAATTAAAAAAAACCCCCCTTCCGGGAAAACAAAAAGCTTTTTGTG